GCAAATAAAAAAAACGTATAAATAAAAATTGTTTATTAGAATAAATAAGACTTAAAAATAATACCAACAGAAAGTGAAAATAAGCCACACGTAATTATTAAATTTACAATTAATTTAGTCAATTTAGTTTTTAGCAACCAAATAGTTATTTACACCTAAATTTATTATTACCTTTCGTTATTAATAACCTAATGAAAAAAGACTTAAACATTTCATATTTTTACATATTCTCTACGATTGTTAAAAATTATCGGCAATACGCCGTCCGGTCATTCGTACGGTGTAAAAATATTATCATGCTTGAACATAACTAGGGCTGCCATCTCTAAAATGTGGCAACCAGGATAAGACGAGTGATAACCCCGGATTTTGAAGCCCAGAACCCGGACAGACCAATAAAAAAACAGTTAAAAATGTCACAAATCAACTTTTTTATGTTGATCTAGGCAAAAGAGCTAGCGGTCTACCTCATAATAAGTGCTGCCCATGGACACTTGCAGCACCAAGGGCCACTCATGCATTGCCGTAAATTTTTAAACCCGGACTACAAATAAAACCCCGCCCGGACGCTCCCCGGACGCCCCGTAAACTAGGACAAATCCGGGGAAACCCGGACGGATGGCAGCCCTAAACATAACTACACATACACATTGAAGATATAACCAAAAATATTAAAAAAGAAACAGACAAAACAAAAAAAAACGAAGGGTTGCACTCCGGGAGTGCCGGCAGAAGTGAAAACTGCAATATTAACGTTGTACATTTTTGATATTTTGGAATGGTTAGGGAATAATTTCGCACGAATTGCTTTAATTATCAGTATAAAAGTACTATCATGTATGTGGTAGAATACAATATTTATTTATTGTGCTATCGTACACAAACATGATAATTTTATATTACACTAGCAAACCCAGCGAACTCCGTTTCGCCACCAGATAGCTTCGTTTTATGTAACATTTCGTTTTGTGATTAAAAGAAAACGATTTATTTTTTAAAATTTTCCTGAATTTTCTTTGCTATAAACCTCACGGAGCCCGAGACCTTTCCAACGAATGCAAAACCGTGGAAATCGGTTCGTGCATTCTGGAGTTATAGCGTCAGGAAGGAAAACCCGACTTATTTTTATATAGTAGATTAAAAAAGTCTCAGAAAAATGAACTTACATGAATCACGTTTAAGCGCACTTAGCGACATCTATTGTAAAGAAATCAAATTACATGAATCACATTTAAGCACACCTAGCGACATCTATTGTAAACAAATGCATTTTCTTCGCAATAAAGCTGCCACGTGGACGTCCTAGATAGATACTTATTATTATATACGATAAAATAAAATATTACTATGTTTCGTCCATTATATTGAAAGTAAACCACCTTTCCAATTTTATTGTGCGTCATGATGCGATCAGCCCACGTGTTTAACCTGACGCGAGTTTAACATTTTTTACCCATACAAAATAAAAGTGTACAACGCCGCTAAAGAAGTTTTCACTTCAAAAATAAAAGGCACCTATACCCAAACAGTATAACGACCAACCTAAAAAAAATATAAAAAATATAAACAAAACTAGAAATAAGGAAAAATAATAAGATGCACCTTTACATAAAATAAACGATGTGACAATCATAGAAGCTAGTCTTTATCTATACTTATGACGGTACCGAGTAGTGTTGCCAGCTCCGATTTGTTTTAAATCGGAACATGAGGTAAAAATCGGGATTTAGGGTTGCAGATCGGGACTGTAAACAAAAAACAAAGGGTTTTTAAGTCTGGGTTTCATTTATTGCGTTTTAAACTACTAATGCAAGTATAGTATTATATTAATTCCCTAAATTTCATTTTTTTATTAATTCGGACATTTACCGTCCCGATCAGGTACAAATCGGGACGTACCGCGCAAATCGGGACACCTGGCAACACTAGTACCGAGCCACAGCGTCGAAAAAAAAAAGAAAAAAAAACCCACAGCGACGTTAAAACCAATAGTTTTCAATTCTTCATTTGTTGCAAAAGAAAATAGAGTTTAGAACATCCTTGATTATTTCGTAGCATGTATTATTAGAAAAAATAAAATATTATAAAAACCAAGCTTCAAATGTCTTGTAAATAAACAAGTATAAATGTAAGTTAATCAAATGCGTTAAAACTAACACATTTTTTAATATAATAGGGAAGGCCATAGAGCAACACGACAGATGCGGCAAGAAATAAAAAGAATGACGTCAAAAGCTAGTAAACTCCCGATCAAAGTGACATTACATATGATCGTTTGACGTTTTAATGACAGTCGTGTGTCGTAACGTCATATAAGTGAGACGCCATATTGTCCAGAAACGTTTTCGCGGCAATATGAAAATATAATCCACCTTTTATGGACACCGTAAACGTAAGCAAATAACATGAGATCGCTTTGTAAACTGGTTAAATACCCATAGAACATCACGTGCGACCATAGAGTTATAAGAATAGAGTAGGGGAGATATAGACTCTACTACAAGTGGAAGTGTCCCTCTAATAGAAAGAGAAAAAAGATGACAGACCGCTAGCTTTCTCTCTCTAATCGCGCATGCGCATTGGGAACCGTAAGCAGCTTACTATTTCGATGTGATGCCGTTGGATGCCATGCGTCACAAGAGAGAGAGATAGCTAGCGGTCTCTCATCTTCTTTCTCTTTCTACTAGACGGACATTTTTAGAGCCGCCTTCCCCAACTCTCACTCACTCTAACTCTCTCTCAGGAGGGGAGTAGGCATTCACAGCGGTCCCCTCTGCCGACCCCCCCCCCCCCCCCCCTCTGTTGGGTCAGCTCAAAAACAAAACTGGTTGCGCTCGGATATTTCACTAGACTGAGTCAAGTCGCTCGAGTATATGTTAGAGATCAAAAATGTTATGTAATTTGCTGTAAAACATATCTGGAATATTAAACTTACAAAAGGATGGTGCTAAATTTCACATATAACTACAATTATTAACATATTATTTCTATTTAAACACTTTTAATAAAAAAAAAACATACAATTTTGTTAAAATTCTGTTCTTTTTGTCAATAAAAAATCTTAAGTTTGATATGTGCACAATGATTTCAGTAGTATTATGTCATTATGGCTACTCCCCTTCTAGCTGCGTCTGCTGTGTTGCTCTATGGGGACAGCTTTTTAAGGTCTCAATGTCTCCATGACTCAAAGGCCTTACGAATTCTACTATATACAGAGTATATATACTACGCTTAACACATTATTATGTATTGCTGGGTCTGATATTACTTACAAAAATATTATTACAACGTCAATACTTATATAGACTGGGGAAGAAGAAAGAAAATAGAGAAGAGATATAGCTGCTAAGAAGAGTATAGTATAGACATACTCTTATGTATATTTAGTATGTATGTTATATATCGTTTAACATTATAAAGCACTATTGAATGGCACTTTCATTCTTAAATCACACTCATTAATCTCATTATAATATATGTAATAAATTAAAGAAAATAAAATAATTTCAATTGTTCGTTGTTTTTAAAACATACATAAGTGACTGATATAACATAAATTCCATAATAACAAGAGTAAAAAAATACGACTGCTCAAATCAAATTTTGCTTTTCGATGCCTTTTGAATTTTTGTTAAAACAAATACATTAGTACTTTTAACTGTATACAAATATTATTAATATTCTTATAACTACATAATTGTGTAAATAAGGAGTTTGAAGGCAGATAAAAAAGTACAGTACAACACATTAAAGTTCAAAATAGCACGACGTAAATCACAATGATGTTAAGAAAATCTATAGATTTAGGACATCAAACGCAAGCAATTTACATCTCTAAGTAATAGACTGCCAAATAAACAAAATATTATTCACATAACCAATAAGCTATGTTGTTGGAAGCACTTTAACTATATTATTACAAAAATCATTACAACTACTGTAAATATATATAACTTTGTTTTATTCATACATCGTTCATTGTATATTTTTATTTTTGACGACCTCCAAGGCCGAGTGATTTATACGCAGGGTTTCAAAGTGTCGCGTACTCGAGCGTACTTCGAATCCCGGTGGAGGCAGATGTTTGTGTGATGAATACGAGCATTTGCACTCCATTCATGGATGTTTAATATGTATTTCTATATAAATATACTTATGTATGTATCAGTATATGTATTCTATTCGTTAGCCTAGTATCGCATAACACAAGCCTACAGTGCTTACTTTGGGGCTAGGCTAATTGGTGTGAGTGTTGGAAATATTTATTTATTAATTTAAAAACAGAAGACTATGCTACTACACTCAAAAGGGCTTATTTATAATAAATAGAGTTTTTTTTAAACTTATCAATACTACCCCCAGTTTACGGATTATAATATATTAAAATTTATTAACATTACAAAAAGTACTATTTCCAAAGAGGAACGGCATTATTTGTAATAAATATAGTTTGTGAAATGTTGAGAAATTGTTATATCCTGTTATAGAGTTTCAAATGTAATATGATTGTGATATGAAATGTATATATGTTAATAATATACGTATATAATAACTGTTCCAAATGTTTATAAAACCTTTTGTGTCCTATTTCTGTGTTAAGTATATTTTTTGCTAAATTAAAGGGTTATTTTAAATCATGCTCTTTAAATAAAGACATGTTCATGTATACAGAGTGTCGTCTTCATTGATACAGTATGTTCAGATCTGGTAAAGAGGGGAGCGCCTCACCCAAGCCTTTTGTGACCTATTACTGTAAAATGTTTTTCCTCTCACTCACCCAAACCTTTTGTTACCTATTACGAATGTGTTTATTTTTCGGTCAAAATGTTGTTTAAATCATGTTCTATATACAAATACAGGGTGTTGTCATAATCGATGTTCAGATCTGGTACCAAAAGAGCGCCCCACCAAAACCTTTTACGACCAATTTCTTTGTTAAATATGTTGTTTTAAATCATGTTCTTTATAGAAATACAGGGTGTTGTCATATTTGGTGTTCAGATCTGGTACCAAAAGAGCGCCCAACCAAAACATTTAAAGACCAATTTCTTTGTAAAATAAATTGTTTTAAATAATGTTCTTTATAAAAATACACGTTGACGTATACGGGCTGTTGTCATAATCGGTTAAAGGTTGTTCAGATCTGGTACTAAAAGAGCGCCCCACCAAAACCTTTAACGACCAATTTCTTTGTAAAATAAGTTGTTTTAAATAATGTTCTTTATAAAAATACACGTTGATGTATACAGGCTGTTGTCATAATCGGTTAAAGGCTGTTCAGATCTGGTACCAAGGGGAGCGTCGTACCCAGCGTAGCCTGTAGCCACCTTGTTCTGTTCTGATCTTGATGGAAGCTCCTTCTGCCGCTTTGACAGTTTCTTTCACCTACATAAAAAATATATCAATCAAAACTTATTAAAGTATCCGAAGTCTTACGTGAAAAAATAAAACAAAATTTTATTTTACTTGCACTTTACATGGTTGCTCGTATTTACTATTTGTACATTTGATCGTTATCATCAGCCGATTAATGTCCCCACTGCTGGCGCGCAGGCCTTCCCTATGGATGTAATAGGGAGATTGGGCTTTGACCCACCACGCGGGCCCAGTGCGGATTGGCGGGTGCTAACGACTGCAGATGCAGCCGGGACCAACAGCTTAACGTGCCTTCCGAAGCACGGAGGAGCTCGAGATAGAAGATTGTTGGTCACCCATCCAATGACCGACCACTATGAAAGTCGCTTAGCTTCAACGATCGCAGCCGAACGCGCTACCCACTTGCGCCATCGAGCTCCTCCTGTCAACTATACTTACAGGAAATTGCGTTTACTCGTCAAACATCACAAACACATATACCCATGAAATGCCATCATGATAATAGCTACAGGAATAACATAAACTCACGCTTTGCATCAGGTTCTGTGCGTTGCCGACCAACATCTCCGTCGCCTCCTGATCTTCTTCACTACCTGATATAGATAAACAAAAACAAAATAAATAATCACAATATACTTTTAAAAACTCAACATTTTCAATATGGTATGCCACAGATATTGGTATGTTTTCTGTCGTATACTCCATTTTCTATTCTTTTTGTTTTGTAATTAGGATGTAATTGATTTGTATTTTTTGATTTTCTGTTTTCTGTGATTTCTCTGCTCTGGGTATAGCAGAATACCAGTGCAGCAGGAATTTTACTTGCTGAATGTTGAGCCATATCCAGTGTTGGCATCATATAAAATACACATTTATTGTTCTATAGCTGTTTTTTTGCTGTTGTTAGTTTTACTTGTAAGTTTTGTTTTACTTAATGTTGTATGTATTTTGCATTTTATGTGTATGTTATGTGCTGTCAGCAATAAAAAGCATTTTTCTTTCTTTTCTCTCTTTCTTTAAATACAGTTATTGTAACAGTTTTGATTTTAACACTTTTTGCATTTAAGAGCGGACGCGAACTGAGAGACATTTGAGAAATAGGTATTTGAAAATACTATTGCTGTCACGCATTGGCAAATACCATGTGATAGGAATAACAGTAGTATACGCTGAAAAATGCGTAATTTGAAGTTTGGCTCTCAACGATTTCCTAAAGAATAATAAGTAGTTATACTATGCCTCTATGTTTTGATGTTTTTGTAAATGCTTATTAAATCTCCACACTAGACGTCTTTAGTGGTGATAAAAATTTGTTTAATTTCGGACTTTTTCGAGGGCTTCTAGTTTTTTTGAAACGCAAGTTATCGAAAAAAGTAAAATAATGGAGCACAGAATGAGTTAAATTATATTTTAGGTATGAAAATCAATTCTTGCCACCCCTCTTAACAGACAGAAGAATGTCAGTATATGAATAAATCAAAAAAGTATATTTGAAAATCTACGAAAAATAATCCATTGACAATATTTTTTGCCTACCATGCATTACCAAGAGCATTTTGCTCGCCCTGACCCCATTTTCTTGTATTACTGCAGCAAAAGTCTCAATTATAGCAACCCCACAGCGTTCATACTATAAACGAATAGTAACTTTGTTTGTTCTAGCGCTGGCAACATTGCTACATAGAATGTAATACGGGTTTTCTTTGGCGGGATTTCATCGGGTGCGGTTGGCGTCTTATTTTTTATTCTTAAATTCGTTCATAGTGGATATTGTGAAATAAATTTGGTGTGATTTTGTGTAACAACCGTCTGCGCAACTGAAGAATTAGTGGAATCTTTAAAATATACGCTATTCTGATCAAGTGGACGTGAGAAATTTATTGTAGTGTTGACTACATCACAGAAGCTTATCGGAACAGCCAACTCAATACATTTCGTGCCAAACACGCCAAGTAACATTAGAATGAGTCACAATAACATTCTAATATAAAAAAAGAAGATTAAAATAACTTAAGACTTGGCTGTATGGGCATTGTTCCCTTTGCTTTCCCTGAAAAGGGAGAATCTTAAATAATAATAAAAAGAATGTAATACGGTCCATGGGCATGGTTAAAAGACCTACTTAATTATTACATCATCACGGTCTATAAAACCATTCCCCCTTATTAATAAACAAGGAATGAACTTACACTATAAACTGAGACTAAACATGAAGTAACTAATCCAAGCACAGTCTTCGTTTCAGGGCTTGAAACCGGTTTCAAAAATACCGGTATAAAGGTGAATACCGGTTTTTAGTAGAGATTTCGTTCGGAGCGCGTTCGAAATGAAAGCAGTACCTAAAACCTTAATAAACCGGTTTAATCCTGAGCGACACGTGCACGCGTCGGCATCGCTTGAAGTTTGTTTTGTTTGAACTAATCAAGTCACAACTTGTTAATGCTCAGAGATTGATGCATTTATTGACACGTTTGCTAGCGTCTAGTGAGTCAAGTTATTCATTTTGTAGTTGTGTATTTATTTCAGCCGTCAGTAAGAGCGAAATGAAACCCATAAAAATCGCTTCATTGATTCAAAACCTATTTGATTTTGCTTTTTAGGAAAACCGGTTTTTTTAAGGTTAAGGTAGAGCCAAACCTAAATAAAACGCTCCTAATGTACTTGACTCTGATTTAGGTTTGAAAATTAACCGGTAAACAAGCCCTGCTTCGTTTATTAATAAGGGCGTTAGTGTTTTATTAAATAGTGCAAGATTGGTGTAGTTGATACTTTTTTTTTTATATAATAGGATATCACGTTTAATATCGATCTAAAGATGGAAGGATTGATCGATCCACGTTAATATTAGAAACAATCACTACAGAGTCTTCAAAAAATTAAAAATCTGCAAGTTTAATTTTGGAAGAGGAGCAGTTTAAATATTTTGAACATCAACTACAGGAAACTATTAGTTTAATCAAAACAAAACACACAATTATAGCATATATTTAACTTATTCCAGTTTATCTTGAAATTTTTATTATACACTCGACACACATGCACTCAAATTTGACACTGTATTTCCTGCAAACCAAAGTGTCTTTCATTTCTTAGATTAAAACAAAAAGGGAAGATACGGCACTCGCGGCTCAAAAGTGATCCGCTTAAATTGTGGTGCATGATCACAATTCGCTTTAGTGACAATTGGACATTCAAACACGCTGCATGTGCACTCAATATAACAATATTGCGTATATTCTGTGTTATAAAGATAAAACAATGCCTTTGATGCTTTTATAAAGAACACAAACAGTTCAAAATCAAATAACAGACGTGTGCATGCGTGAGAGTTGATTATGTAATTGAGTCGGATCATATTTTATTTGATGCTAGTATGAGCGTACCGTATCTTCCCTTTTTGTTTTAATCTAAGGTGGATACTCTATAAAATTTTACTGTACCAAATACTAGATAATATTCACTAATTTCTTATCAATTCGTCATTTTCACATAATTACTAATGCACCTCAATAAGCTATTAATACACATTCAAGGTTAAATTATAGATAAAACACTTTAAGATGGTGCAAAGGGATAGCATTCTACGTGCTTTTATATTAACTGTTTACTAGTTACCTTTGTAATCCGCCATGCCGACTGTTAGGGAAGCAAGAAGCGGAGTTAGAGCGATTTAGCGATTATACTCTTAAAGCTTAATATACTTAAGGCTGATTTTCAAAAGCTGGGATTTAGAACTCTGTTTTTAAAATAGGCTTCATAAAGTTCAAAGGCAAAGACGAAAATAAGCGTTTTGTTAGATTACTGTATAGTGCTGCCATCTAACGCCCATCATTTCTGTAGAATCTCATTAAAATTTTTGCATGATAAAATGTTGCAAATTTGCAATGTTGTAGTAAAGTGAAGTTAGGGCGAGTCACATCCCAGTGCCCTAGCACGAACCCTTATCGAATTCGAATAGTTTGCAAACCGAAATGTCAATGTCAAATTTTGTATGGAGACTTGAACAGCAGCGGCACAAAGTACGTAACGAGAACTAAGAATCAGTACACATTTGACAATGACATTTCGGACTCGCAAACGATACGATTTCGATATTGGTTCGTGCTAGGGGTACAGTAAACAATGATTTCAGTGAACTGAAACCTGCTAAATAATTGCGATCGCTGCTTATTTCAGTCACCATAAAATTTAAATCGTACTATACAAAAATAGTTATGACAGCCATTCACACTGTGAAAGGCGCTGGGTTTGATTCCTGTTCGGGGCACCTTGTTGATTAGACGGCGATCAAAATATGAATGTGGTTAAATAGCCTTTTGTTACACTAAGCGGTATATAATGAGCTTGCACATTTAACTACTGCGCGTACTTTGATAAAAAATTATTAATTTTGGATTGATTGATTGATTACTTATGTAGTCAATACATTTTAATCCAAAAAGTTGTACCTTGTTTTTTATGAGTCTCCGATATTTCGGCACTGTTGCAAACGCCATGATCACGGAGTTACTCCGTCATCATGGTCACGGAGTTACTCCGTCATCATGGTCACGGGGTTACTCCGTCATCATGGTCACGGAGTTACTCCGTCATCATGGTCACGGAGTTACTCCGTCATCATGGTCACGGAGTTACTCGGTCATCATGGTCACGGAGTTACTCCGTCATCATGGTCACGGGGTTACTCCGTCATCATGGTCACGGAGTTACTCCGTCATCATGGTCACGGAGTTACTCGGTCATCATGGTCACGGAGTTGCTCCGCATCATGGTCACGGGGTTACTCCGTCATCATGGTCACGGAGTTACTCCGTCATCATTGTCACGGAGTTACTCCGTCATCATGGTCACGGAGTTACTCCGTCATCATGGTCACGGAGTTACTCCGTCATCACGGTCACGGAGTTACTCCGTCATCATGGTCACGGACTTACTCCGTCATCATGGCGCTTGCAACAGTGCCGAAATATCGGAGACTCATAAAAAAAAGGTACATGGTAACAACCCCGTTATTAGCTATAATGTTAGTGACCATGAAAGTTTAAAACAATATAAGTTGAATAGTATACTTATTGTTCAATCTTGAAAATATTTGGCACTACATTAAGTTGATTATTAGTTAAAAAATAAGCAGACAAGTTCTTACTTACGTATTAGTAATAAATAATCTTTATTTCAATTAACATAAGTGCGTGATTACCTTGCGCGCCCAACATGGTGGCTTTGACAGTCGACAATATCTTGAGTTGTGTTCCGATGGTGGGGATACGTTCGCACACTTGCAGAAGGTTCTAAAAGAAGCAAAAGAAGGAATAAGTTTTACTAGTATTAAACCAAATCTACCCCAAACTCAAAGTGTAACAACATTGCTAACAAAAAAAAACTGTTATATTTGTAATTCTTTAAACATGTAACTGCTAGATTAAATTAAGTTTAAATGTAAAGAAATTTTACTATAAAAAAATCCACGCGGACCAGGCAGCAGGCGGGACTCGAACCCGCACCCTTCGCTATCTGGGCGCGTGGATTTTTTTCTAGTAAAATTTTATTTAGATTTAAACATCTAGCAGTTTCATGCTTAAAAAATTACAAATATAACTATAATTGCTATTTCTTCTTTCAAATGTTTAATACTTGTTAAGGTATCCATTTGATATTGTTGGTTACCCACAATACGAAGAGATGGAGCTGCCTTGCAGCTTAAGAAAGGTTAGAGGAAATTTGACACGGCCGTCAGGGCCGCGGTAGCATAATGGTCAGTGCATTCGCCCAGATAGCGAAGGGTGCGAGTTCGAGTCTCATCTGCTGCCAGGTCCACGTGAATTTTTTTCTAGTAAAATTTCTTTACATAAAAATAAACTGCTTTACATAATAATTGGTACTGTAGGAAGACCAAAGGGGAAGATCTTCCTCCGAGCTGGGTGATGGTAGCTCGGGGGCCACGGCCCGACTGATGTTGGTCGGGCATCGTATATATGAAGAGTTAGCTTCCGAATTTCATTTGCGCGATGTAGGCTTCCAAACTATTATGATCGCAGTGCAGGTAACGCCATCTCTTGAGGATGGTGAGTAATGATTTCCTCCATCCGTTGTATATATGTGGGGCATATAGATGTCGCCTCCACAGTACATAATAAGAACTGTGTCAGAATGCGAAACTATTTGAGCACTATCGAGACACGATTGTTACATTAACGTAGCAGAATCGATACCTTCGACAGACCCTATGAGGTAGGGAGGCCTTTGCACAAATTTCCTATGTTCAAAAAACTATAACACTACATAACATTTTAGGTTTAGCAAATTTGAACATTATGCCTATAGACTTACGGTTCTGATTCTCTTGTCGGTGCATTCCAGCGCTAGTTTCTTGGCGAGACGTGTGACTTCCTCCGAAGCCTCAGCGATCGCCTTGGCAGTCGCAATCAACTCGCGTTTGCTGCCTGTTACATAGTAGGAATAACTGTTATTGTACAGCTGTTATGAATTATTATCATACATAAATATTTACTTAACGCGATTTTCAATTTTATAAACATTGACTATTATAATTCTATGGACATTTAAATTTGATATGAATATGTAATATATTGTATGAATGATTTTTTTTTCTTAATTAATAATATGATGTGTCTAATATTTAGCCAAGACACAAATTGCTTCTTGATAATAATGATTGTATATGTTTCTCAGCTCGGTAGATTTCGTCTTGAGTGAAGAAAACTCCAAAATATTGGAAATTACTTTAATTATAGTTTAAAATTACACAGCTTGTACGTGACAATATTAAAGCAGAGAAAAAAGTGAATGACTGTCAGTTTTCATATTACGACTACCGCCGTCTAAAATGTTAACGCCTGCTCGAAAGCCATAGCAATATCTTGGTTGATTGGGCAAGGCCGCAACATCTTCCCCCCCGTTGAAAGTCCCAGACTTTCAACCTTGCAGGTCTTCCATTGTGAGAAGAGGACACAGACGCACGAAGGGTCGGCGAACGCAGCCCCTGGTAGTTTTGACATCCGCTACTCTTGCAATTCCATCGGGGCCAGGGAACAGGCGAGCTACTCTTCCAAGGCGCCAACAAAGAGGAGGCACGTTATCTTCTTTCAACAAAACTAGGTCTCCAATGTTGAGGTTCTTGGAGTTTGTTTTCCATTTCAGACGCTGTTGAAGCTCGCTTATATACTCTCGTTGCCAGCGTTGCCAAAAATGTTGATGCATTTGTTCGATCCTGGCGTATCTTTGTAGATGTGTTTCCTTCTTATCAGTTAAGTCGGGAGCCGGCAATGCTGTTAATGATCTTCCTACAAGAAAATGCCCTGGAGTTAAGGGTAGGAAATCATCTGGAGAAGAGGATAAAGGGCATAGGGGACGACTGTTCAGAACTGCTTCCACTTGCGCAAACAACGTGGAGATTTCTTCAAAGGTAAGATGACAATTCCCATTACCCGTTTTATATGAAATTTCGCGGATTTTATACCGGCTTCCCAAATGCCGCCAAAGTGAGGAGCGTAAGTGGGTGTAAAAATAAATTTAATGCCTTCATGAGTTGCAAATTCAGAAAGAGCGTTATTATTTGAATTTAGAAATTTTGAGATGTCTTTAGCTGCTGCTACAAAATTTCGACCGTTGTCGCACAAGATTTCTAAAGGTTTGCCTCGTCGAGAGATAAATCTGCGCAGAGTCATAACAAATGCTTCCTTAGAAAGATCACTCACTGCCTCGAAGTGTACGCATTTAAAACGCAAGCATATAAATAGACAAAGGTAACATTTTACTACCTTGGCCCCTCGACCCTTACGATTTAGTATGTAAAAGGGCCCCGCAAAATCGACTCCCACTGAAGAGAATGAAGGGCCCGGTGTTATGCGTTGAGGTGGTAGATCTCCCATTTTTGGACAGAGTGTATTACTACGCAGCCGTTTGCAGCGTACGCAGTCGTGAACTGTACGTCTCGCTAACCGCCTGCCGTTTAGGGGCCACACTGTTTCTCGGACCACGGACAACAACAACTGTGGACCAGCGTGCAGATGACGAAGATGTTCACGTTCAAATAATAATTTGGTTAAATGATGAGAGGAATCCAGCAGAATTGGATGTTGAACAAAAGTGTTGTAGTTATAGTATGACGCATCTATGCGCCCTCCTACTCTTATCAATTTTGAATGGTCAATAAATGGTGATAATGATAAAATCTTAGATTTTGCAGGTAAGGCTGATCCCCTTTCAAGTGTATGATATTCGTTGGAAAAACATTCCTGCTGTGCTACAAAGCACAAGTAGTGGAATGCTTCTTCGATTTCGATTAAGGATAAGGTACCGACCCTTTTAGCCGTAGGGTTCCGCAAATTATGAATAAATCGCAGTATCATTGCAACTACATTTCGTATATAGGTAAATTTTGAATATCTTTTAATATTTATTATAGGATTAATTATTGAAGCTGCAATGTAAGTATTCAGTTTTGTTTTAGAATTATAATTTTCATCTTTGTATTTTCCTATGAATTTTAAAGATCTTTTGTTTTCAGGTTTGGAATTTGCTGAGGCGGATTTCATACGAAGAGCACTATTCAAGGATTTACCACTCGGTGAGTATTTTGAAGTGTTAATCCCCTTAAATTCTATATTTTCAGTTTCAGATACAGTTAAGGCTGGCCATTCGTGATCTTCTTTAGCCAAGAACTCTGGACCCAACCACCACAGATGTGATTCCTTAAGAACCCGTGCATCGACCCCACGTGAAATCAAATCAGCTGGATTGCTGTCAGTTGGAACATGACGCCAAGTGGTTTGGTGTAAAGTCAACTCTAATATTTCCACTACTCGATTAGCAACAAAGGTTTTAAGTTTAGTAGGATCTGTTTTGAGCCAGCCCAGAACTACTGTAGAATCACACCAGTGTACTACTCGAGAGGGTTTGTATCGCAGTGTTTCAACTACACTAACACAAAGTTTGGATGCTAATAAAGCAGCACAAAGCTCAAGGCGAGGAATAGTCATGGGTTTTATGCGTGCTACCTTAGACTTACCACATAATAGTCTCACGGTGGTTTCACCGCCTTCGTTCTTGCTTTTCACATATATACAAGCTCCGTAGGCAGTTTGAGACGCATCACTAAAAGAGTGGATTTCAATGCTTATCGGCGAATTACACAGTACTCGTCGTGGGATTTCCAAGGTAGAAAGGTAAGAAATGTTTTTTGAAAATTTTAGCCATTTTTCCTTGATTTCTAGAGGGACTGGCTCATCCCAGCCAATCTTTTGAGACCATAATATTTGCAGCATAACCTTTGCTTGAATGATAAATGGACTTAGAAGACCCAAGGGATCAAATATTTTAAAGGAGTTTGACAGTATCAGTCTTTTTGTTATTATTATATTATTTTTATTATCATTTTGAATTGGAAAATTTAAAACATCATCTTTAGGATTCCACCCTAGACCTAGGGTGCTGGAAGCTTCACTTATAGTTAAATTTTGTTGCGTTTGGACGTCAGAATCGTGAAATAAATTTAGCATATTTGTTTTGTACTTTCTTAAGTGAAAGCATGCCTTGCTTAAGGCAGCAGACACAGAATTTTGTATATAACGTATTTCCTGCTCCTCATCTGCTCCCGTAATCATGTCATCAACATAGAAATCTTGCTTTATGATAGTTTTTATGCGTTTGATAAGGAATTACGCTTAAGGGTTTCTTTCTTATTATTAAAAATAATCACTTTATAAAATATTAGAAACAGCTACGTACTAAATACCTTTTAGGACGTGGAAAAGGTGATGTCTGCTGCCAGGACCCGGGGAAAACTTGTTGTTCACTGCACTGTTAACTTCGTAATAAAATCCACAGGCGTTTGCGAATACCTTAAGTAGACTCGACCATCGAGTTGTTAGCCAAAATGCTTTTATTTTATAAATGTGTATCAAAGCTTTGTTAAATCATGAAAAACCTTTAACAGATTCCTTATCACTTTTAAGAAGGTTTGTGTTGGATATATAATGTATTTCTAGTCTGGATAAGAAGATATTTTACAAAATAAAATACCAATTGTTATTGGTTGATAACATTGCCGCCCATCATAAGTATACGTTTTTGTTTTCTTTTAAAGAAAGGAGCAATGTTTTGTTGTACTTATAATATGATAATTATCTTTGAATGTTTTAAAGAGATTTAAGTTAGTATAAAATGTAATTGTTACATTACCATAGGCTTTAATAATTACATTGTAAAAGATGGCGCCACTGTTAATTTGTTTGAGAAGGTGGGAACTAAAAGTATAAATTCAGATGTCTGGTGGATTTGACATTCACTTTTTGATCGAGACAAGGGATATCAGTGTGCAGCCTAAAGCATCAGCGTCATGTGAGTTAAGTAATAATCTTCCTATTATTGTTTTTAACTTGTATTGGAATGATATTATTGTGATAATATTATAAGTTGAATATAATAATGATATAATTAACTTATAATTTTTGTCATTTACAATAGAGGTTACCCCTGTAATCATATAACTTAAAATAATAGATAAGTTATATGTGAGTTAAGTTGTTATACTTTGTTTTGATATTTTAATTTAAATAATCAATAAATAATGTTCTTTAACTACCTTCGAAATTATAAATATTTTATTTTCCTTACAAAATAAAGAAATAAGAGTCTATTGAACAGTTTTATTTCAATTCCATTTGCTTTTTATTACTTTTTAGAAGTTTCAAAATTAAATAGGATAAAATTTATGACATCAGAAGTGGGATCAACAGCCTATTCTCATTAAACTAAAAATAATTGTATGTTACAGAATGGATGTCGGAGAAATAAGTGATTTACTGAAAGCAATAAGCAATGCTATCTCTACACCGAGTCAAAAGGATGACGACGTGGCACTACCACTCTTCAGTCCGGACAACGATTCCGGAGCGGCTGGCTGGTGCGACAGCATTGAAATCCTTGCAAAGGAGTTCGGTTGGAGTAGTATCAAGACAGCTGCTAAGGCAGGTAAGGCCCTTAAGGGCTCTGCTTTAGCGTGGTTCGAAACTTGGGAACCTATAGAAGGAAGATCATGGGAAAATTTTCGTGCTGAAATAATAAGCTCCTATCCTGAGAAAAGGAATCTATCTGAGAGACTTGCTAAAGCAGTTCTGTATTGTTCCAATTCAGCTGATTCATATAGTGATTATGCTAGAGAAAAAATTAGGCTACTGCGTAGTACAAAAATTTATTTTTCTGATGCTCAACTCATTGAGTTAATCTGTGGCGGTATTAGCGATGTTGATATTCGAATGGCTACGTTAAATAGCAGTGTCGCTACGACTTCCGCACTTATAACTCTACTTTCGACGTATATTAAATCTTATAAAAGAACATCGGATAGCAGTAGTGATTCTTCTTTAGGAAGTAAACGACCTAAACTTAATAATGAAAAGAGATGCTTTAATTGTAATCA